CAGTGGAGGATTTAGTGGTCTCTAGTGGTGGAGTTGCAGATTACAACTCCCTCGCTTCACCTTCCTTCTTACACAATAAAGAAACTATGGTGGCTGTCTGGATCCAGTGTTTGGTTTGTCTGTTCTGGGCTACCTTAGAAACATGGCGGACTCCACCAGAAGACGACCCGCTCTCTCTGTAACAAACACACACTGATTGTTATTGTCAGCTGATTAAACACTAATGAAACACACTGATGGATATATTAGATTAATGTGACTCACTGGAGCTTTAATGGACAAAGTGAATGAATGACTGGGACGTTAAATATCTGGTGAATATGGCCGATGGTGTTCCTCAGGGCTCCTGACTCCTGTAAAACGTTTACAGTGAAGTATAAGTAACTAATAGGTAACTAATAGGTAACTAATACCACAGTATACAGTACTTATACTGTTATATTCTTATGTGATTGGATCATTACTTATGATGTATGATGATGTAAGCAGCACTTAATGTATAATAACCCTTCATCATTATTTAATATTTAATATAATAACAAAGCAAACAAAGTTCAGTTAATATAATTTCAGAAATAAAGGAGCTCAAACTGACACCTCCCACTTCCTGTTTCTCCTGCTGTCTGTCAGCTCATATCAGACAGACAGACACAGACAGACAGACAGAAAGCAGTGTGACTGTGAGCAGCTCCTCGACTCTGTGAGTATCAGGATCACTTTAATGTTACTTGTTGTTACCTTTATGTTATTACCTTTATGTTGTTACCTGTATGTTATTACCTGTATGTTGTTACCTGTATGTTATTACCTTTATGTTGTTACCTTTATGTTGTTACCTGTATGTTGTTACCTTTATGTTATTACCTGTATGTTGTTACCTTTATGTTATTACCTTTATGTTATTACCTTTATGTTATTACCTTTATGTTGTTACCTGTATGTTATTACCTGTATGTTATTACCTTTATGTTGTTACCTGTATGTTGTTACCTGTATGTTGTTACCTGTATGTTATTACCTGTATGTTGTTACCTGTATGTTGTTACCTGTATGTTGTTACCTTTATGTTATTACCTGTATGTTATTACCTGTATGTTATTACCTGTATGTTATTACCTGTATGTTGTTACCTGTATGTTGTTACCTGTATGTTGTTACCTTTATGTTGTTACCTGTATGTTGTTACCTTTATGTTATTACCTGTATGTTGTTACCTGTATGTTGTTACCTTTATGTTGTTACCTTTATGTTATTACCTGTATGTTATTACCTGTATGTTGTTACCTGTATGTTGTTACCTGTATGTTGTTACCTGTATGTTATTACCTGTATGTTGTTACCTTTATGTTATTACCTGTATGTTATTACCTTTATGTTGTTACCTGTATGTTGTTACCTGTATGTTGTTACCTGTATGTTGTTACCTGTATGTTATTACCTGTATGTTGTTACCTGTATGTTGTTACCTGTATGTTGTTACCTGTATGTTGTTACCTGTACGTTGTTACCTGTACGTTGTTACCTGTACGTTATTACCTGTACGTTGTTACCTGTACGTTGTTACCTGTACGTTGTTACCTGTACGTTGTTACCTGTATGTTGTTACCTGTATGTTGTTACCTGTACGTTGTTACCTGTACGTTGTTACCTGTACGTTATTACCTGTACGTTGTTACCTGTATGTTGTTACCTTTATGTTATTACCTTTATGTTGTTACCTGTATGTTGTTACCTTTATGTTGTTACCTGTATGTTGTTACCTTTATGTTATTACCTTTATGTTGTTACCTTTATGTTGTTACCTGTATGTTGTTACCTGTATGTTGTTACCTGTATGTTGTTACCTGTATGTTGTTACCTTTATGTTGTTACCTGTACGTTGTTACCTGTACGTTGTTACCTGTACGTTATTACCTGTATGTTATTACCTGTATGTTGTTACCTGTACGTTGTTACCTGTACGTTATTACCTGTACGTTATTACCTGTATGTTGTTACCTGTATGTTGTTACCTTTATGTTATTACCTTTATGTTGTTACCTGTATGTTGTTACCTGTATGTTGTTACCTGTATGTTGTTACCTGTATGTTGTTACCTTTATGTTGTTACCTGTACGTTGTTACCTGTACGTTGTTACCTGTACGTTATTACCTGTATGTTATTACCTGTATGTTGTTACCTGTATGTTGTTACCTTTATGTTATTACCTTTATGTTGTTACCTGTATGTTGTTACCTTTATGTTATTACCTGTATGTTGTTACCTGTATGTTGTTACCTGTATGTTGTTACCTGTACGTTATTACCTGTACGTTATTACCTGTACGTTGTTACCTGTACGTTGTTACCTGTATGTTATTACCTGTATGTTGTTACCTGTATGTTGTTACCTGTATGTTATTACCTTTATGTTGTTACCTGTATGTTGTTACCTGTATGTTGTTACCTGTACGTTATTACCTGTACGTTATTACCTGTACGTTGTTACCTGTACGTTGTTACCTGTATGTTATTACCTGTATGTTGTTACCTGTATGTTGTTACCTGTATGTTATTACCTTTATGTTGTTACCTGTATGTTGTTACCTGTATGTTGTTACCTGTATGTTATTACCTGTATGTTGTTACCTTTATGTTATTACCTGTATGTTGTTACCTTTATGTTGTTACCTGTATGTTGTTACCTGTATGTTGTTACCTGTATGTTGTTACCTGTATGTTGTTACCTGTATGTTGTTACCTTTATGTTGTTACCTGTATGTTGTTACCTGTATGTTATTACCTGTATGTTATTACCTGTATGTTATTACCTGTATGTTGTTACCTGTATGTTGTTACCTGTATGTTATTACCTGTATGTTGTTACCTGTATGTTGTTACCTGTATGTTGTTACCTGTATGTTGTTACCTTTATGTTGTTACCTGCCTTTATTGAAATACTCTGTACCTGCGCTGCTTCTGTTTTCTTCAGTTAATCTGTTGGACGTATTAATTTAAAAAAAGCTTTTGACTGTTGGTCTGTTCGTCGTTGTGGTATTATGACTTTAAAGTAAAATATCTATTTTAACTGTGCTACTGCTTCCTCTCCGTCTCTAGTTTCCTTCCATTCTTCTTCTCTTTCTCTCAGACACAGCAATGATGTCAGAATATTTGCAGCCATCTGATTGGTCCACTGCTGCTACGACATCTGAAACATCAAGATTCATCACAGAGGTCAGAATCAGTCGTCATATTCACATCCTCCAGTCCTCTGGACCAGACCTCCCCATTACACTACGCTACGCTATGCTACGCTAATAGATCCTCCTCTCATGCAAACCCATTGTCTGTTTATTGCAGGTTAGCCCCGCCCCTTCACACACCTTCCTCCAATCACCAAACATGTCCCATGAGGCCGAGCAGCTGACTGCTGCCAGTGACCAGTTCCAATGTTCCTCTTTCTGGTTGGACGACTACAGCTGTGAATCACTGAGCTCTGCCTACGTCCCGCCTCCTCCTTCATCCTTATATGGTGTTCCTGCCATGACTCCGCCCCCCACCTGCCTCTTCTCCTCAACGTTTGGATGGAACGGTTACTATGGCAACCTTTACCCCTCCTCCCCCTCTCCTGATTGGCCGTTACCTGGCAGTAAGCCGTGGGGGCGGGGCATTGTACCAGGTGAGATGTCTACGCGTCTGTCTTAGCTGCACCTGTCGCAGTGCATTGGAGGGTGTTTCACGTTTGTGTCGGTGTGTTTGTTCAGAGCAGCGTGAGTGTGTGAGCTGTGGGACGAGCAGCGCCCCCCTGTGGAGGAGAGACGCTGCAGGGGGTCACCTGTGTAACACCTGCAGTGTCCAGCAGAAAACCACCAACCGACCGCTGCTGAGGCCCAAGAGGAGAGCGGTAAAAACAGCTTCCACCTGCCTCCAGTCTTTGTGCTAAGCTAGGCTAACAGCTTCCACCTGCCTCCAGTCTTTGTGCTAAGCTAGGCTAACAGCTTCCACCTGCCTCCAGTCTTTGTGCTAAGCTAGGCTAACAGCTTCCACCTGCCTCCAGTCTTTGTGCTAAGCTAGGCTAACAGCTTCTGCTCCTGAAAATAAACAAATATGTTTGTTTGTTCTGTTTTCAGGTTGTGAGTCAGAGGAAAGGAACTCAGTGTGTGAACTGTTCAACTGCAACGACGACGCTGTGGAGGAGAAACTCTGCTGGAGAGCCGGTCTGCAACGCCTGTGGGCTCTACTACAAACTACACCAGGTACTACAAACTACACCAGGTACTACACCAGGTACTACAAACTACACCAGGTACTACAAACTACACCAGGTACTACTCCAGGTACTACAAACTACACCAGGTACTACAAACTACACCAGGTACTACAAACTACACCAGGTACTACAAACTACACCAGGTACTACTCCAGGTACTACAAACTACACCAGGTACTACAAACTACACCAGGTACTACACCACGTACTACAAACTACACCAGTACTACAAACTACTCCAGGTACTGGATCAGGTACTTCAGGTGTGTACTGTGTGTTTCAGGTCAACCGGCCGTTGGCGATGAAGAAAGACGGAATCCAAACCAGGAACCGGAGAGTGACCAATAGGAACAAGAGGAGCAGGAAATCTGACCAATCAGAGACGGAGCTGTCCAGGCTGGCTCCGCCCACTGAGGAGGCACTGTCCTGTGAGCTGTACGCCTCCTCCTCCACGTCCCTCCTGTGTCTGTGACCACTGACTGTTTCTGTCTTTAATAAACTCGTTAAACCTTCAACTGATTGCTTCATTCAGTCCTTAAAGCTGCTCTTTACTGCCAGTCAGCTAATGTCAGCATGCTATCACACTGAAGATAGTGAACAGCATCCTCACAGAGCCTGAAACTACAGATTCCAGAGGTCTCCTCAATCTAAACACACTGAATAAAGCAGTTCCACCTTAAATCACTGCTTCTCCCACTGCTAACGTTAGCTCAGCTTGTTTCTCTGATAACTTAAGAAACGTATCCTTCATCCGATCTAGAGTTACAAAGCACCAGGATGTAAACAGTCAGAGTGTGACAGCTTCTGGCGCTGACGCAGGCACAAAGGGGAGACGACGCCATCGACGGGCGACCGGTGAAACGCAGCGTTACCTGAATAAAAGAAAGTTTAATGTTAGAAATGTTCAGTCGGGGTCTGCAGCTGTTAGTGACTGATGCTAACAGTTAGCATCATTAGCATGAATAATCAGCTATATGGACGATATCTCAGCAGTTTTATATTATATATATAATGACAGCAGAGACACGGGGACAAGAGGACAAACAGAAAAGCAAAAGAAAGCAGGAAGAGGGGGATGGATGGTCTGATCACAACCTGAGACGGGTTTATTGATAGGTTAGAGGTCTGACCACAGTTAATGTGAGTGAGTGAGGAGAGACAGATGGAGGGAGAGAGGGGGGGACAGTGTTCTCTGTGCACAGGGGGGAGAGTGGGAGGTGATGGTCTGAGGTCCCAGCAGGCACTGGGGGTGTCTGTGGGGTTAAAGCAGTCTATTGTTGTCTATCTGACATTGACCTTTATCTATCTGAGTACTGAGAGACCACAAACTCCCACTGAAGGAACCCAGAATGGTGACACACACTCACAGAAAGAAAAGACAATCTGAATTTATTTGCATCAACACAGGAAACAAACAAACCGAGTTGTCTCGAGAATCAACTAACTAGAACAAAGAAAATCCCTCTGTTATATTCCTCTTTCCCCTAGAGTGTCTATTGGTGACGTCTAATGTCTGATAAACAGTAGTTATAACACATCTGATGTCCTACTCTCCAGGGACAGCCTTGGTCTCTGTAATGTGCTCATGGCACAATGAATAACAACTCTCCTAACCAGAGTGAATACCTGAGGATGAACATACATGGACATAAAATATTATACTGTAAGCCTGTAAAATTAAACCTGAAGTAACACAACATAATATAGTTTGCTTCATGTTCACAGAACCTTCACGGGGGAGGACACTGAATCCATTTCTGACATTTTCTAAATACAAAATAGCCGTTTGAGGCAGAAGTGTCCATATTTGACCCCCCCCCCCGGGGCCGACTGTGGCTCAGTGTGAGGTTATTGATGTGATCAATATATTGGAGCTGCATTATAGAATCAATAAAGCTCAGTGTGTGAATGTCACACAGAATATTCCTTCATTATAGAAACAGTTTGATCTTTTACACTGTACAGTAAATATAGATGAACACATTTATTTTAATCTTTAACATTTATTTAAATAAGCAGAAATGTTTGGATTATTTACAGTTGAGACCAGATCAGACTCATAGTTAATATTTCCATATATTTCTGTATCTGTATTAAAGGAGCGGCCCGCAGATGTACAGATGTGTTTACAGTGAAGCAGCCCACTGACACACACTGGGAGCTAACAGAGGCACGCAGTGATAGCCCCCCCCCCCCCCCGGGCCACCTCCTGCTGGAGGCCGATGTTGTGCAACGCAGGAGGCTTCTGGTTTTCCGGACCCAGAAAAAAAAGGGCCAAGAGAGGAAAAGGGAGCTGAAGAGGGCGGTTGGTGGTCTGAGGCCGGCCAGAGGATCTCTACCTCGCTCCACCTCACTCGCTCTCTCTACGTCTGTCTATGGATGATTATCAACCACAGCGCGCGTGCACACACACACACACACACACACACACACACACACACACACACACACACACACACACACACACACACACACAGACACAGACACACAGACACACACACACACACACACACACACACACACACACACACACACACACACACACACACACACACACACACACACAGACACACACACACACACAGACACACACACACACACACACACACACACACAGACACAGACACACACACACACACACACACACACACACACACACACACACACACACACAGTGAGCGGTTAGTTCGGTTTAAACGTCAAAACTCGGGAACATTAAATATCATGAAGCAACGGCTCCTTCTGGTTCCTCCTGTCTGTCTGTCTGTCCGTCTGTCTGTCTGTCTCTGGATGGTTTATAGCAGCTGCAACAAACCGTAACAGATTTTTATATAATACAGAAAAACAAGCACCATTAATTGTGTGAATTTAGACATCAAATGTACATAAAAAGTTTAGAACAACAATCAGGATCAGGTTTAGGATCAGGACTCTGCAGCTGTGAGGCCCTGCAGCGCTCTCTCTGAATCAATAAGACACATGTAGGGACCAGAAACAGCTGCTAACTGCTAACTGCTAACACTACATCATATCATGACAGACACAAATCAGGTCTGTTTTATATGCAGACTGGAAAGCCCAAGAGGAAAGGTGGAGCAGAGAGGGAGAGGCTTACAAAGCTAAAAGCACTGACCACAGATCAGCAAAGTGCTGTAAAATAACTGACCTGTTTGTCAGTAAGGGAGCAGGTAAGACATTAAACACTAATGGTGACAACAGACACACAACCAGAGCCTATCCAGCACCACCAACTTAATGAGGAGGGTAGATCCACTTTGTGGAAGCTGATGGGGATAAAACTGACTTAATAAAACTAATGTTTTAAGAGGTAACAAAGGAAAAAGTGTAGTAGTAAATGAAATAGAATAGAAATAATGTTCATCTGAATAATGCAGGTGAACATAATTTCAGTTTATGTGATTTGAGTTCAGGTTATTGCAGCACAACAGAAACATTTATTTTGTAGGGGAAAGAAACAGAAAAAGCTGTGTGTGGGCGCATGTGGAGCCTTTGCTCTATTATTTTACACTCTTACATCAGTAGGCGCCAAACCTAACTCACTCTTGGTGTTTCGTGTTAATCGGGTGGTGGTGGCCTGGGATGGTATCAAACTCCTGAATTATTGTCCCAGTCTGCCCCTGGATGGGAGGAAGGTTGGAGGCCGCACAAGAAGAAGGTGGTGAGTGTTGATTGGTGCTGACGCCTCCTGGTGAGGAGAGGAACTGCAGCTCTTTTCTCTGTTTCCCCCTTGAAGGAGAACAAGGCTGGAGAGGAGGCAGTAACCTCGGCAACCACACAGTGGAAGAGACAGAGTGCTGAGGAGGAAGAGGAGGTTAGTGACTCTATAGTAGTATAATAATAATAATAATATGTTTATTATATTCTACCTGAGTCTGTTCTCAGACATGCCCCCAACTAAAGCAGAGAGAAGGACCCTGGACAAACTGCTGTCCATACTGGCCAACAGCCACCACCCTCTGCACGACACCTTCACCAGCAGAGGAGTGTGTTCAGTGGCAGACTTCTGTCCCAGCAGCTCCACCAACAGACTCAAAAACTCTTTTGTCCCCCATCAGACTGTACATCAGCTCTCAGTAAAGGCGGGGAGGACAACAGATAATAGACAGTTTCTACCTGTATTTGCACTGTTTTACTTCTATTTGCACCGTTTCCTGTAGCAACAGTTAATTTTATATATATATATACACACACACACACACACACATATATATATACACACACTTTATATTTTATCTTTTATTTTTAATTATTTTTCTTTAATGTATGTTTTGTATGCTACTGGATACTTGAATTTCCCTCGGGATAAATAAATAAATAATAAAATAACAAACCCTCTGTAATCTGTCCTGTGTTCGGTGCTGCGGTGCTGCCTTTACCTGAGTTACCCAATGAAGTGCCCACTGTTTATTTCTCTTGTCTTTTGATGCTATTAATTTATTGTATGTTCCATCTACCTGCCCAGGGACTGTGGGTGGAAAATAGCAATTTGCTAAAACCCGGTGGAATGCATCTCTCCTGGTTATATACAGGTTAATGTTTGATTGTGCACCGGCCCCGTTCAAATAAAAGAAATAATAATGATAATGCTGCAGCTGCCATAAATGAGATTTATGTCTAGGAATAATAATTCCTTCTAACTGTTGAGGAGGTGAAGAGATGAAACAGTGGGAACAAAAGACAGCAAAGACAGAGACAGAGGAGGAGCCACACCTACCTCAGATAGAGGTGACTGTACACAGTGTTAACACAGCATCACTGCTAGCTACAGAGGACGAGTGTAGTGCTACAGTCGCGGGTTCTCTCAGTAAACAAGCTCTCACGCTAGGAAGTTGGTACACACCACTTTTATTGTAGTCTCCCAGTTACCAATACCAAGCTATTAAACTACTCGGTCTCTGGCACTACTCAGTGGCACTCCCAGTAGCATCTCTCTCCCAGGTCCAGCACACTTCTGCAAAGATAAAGGTAGAGTGATTAGGTAATGATCAGCAGGTGAGGTAATCGACTCACCTGGTGCCGCTCTCCCAAGCCTTCCCCACACCTCTCTCTCCTGCAGCTGAGTGCAAACCACACTCACCTCCACAGTATTAAAATGGGTCGCAGTCAGAAATACAGATTTACTCATAAAGTAAATGTAGTCAGGAAGAAGACTGTAGTTACTGCACGGCCTTTATATCTGTTTATGGAATACAAAGACACAGTTGAATAATAATGGTTATATTCTGTATTTTCAGCCTGAAATATCTTCTTCCACACAACTCCTTAAAAACACATGAGTGAGCCACACTGTTGCTTCATCACCACAAACACACACTGTAGTTTATTTATACTCTGCTGCCACAGACAATGTGTGGATTCATCCGCTGCTGAAAATAGTCCCTAACACATATCAGATGTCAGTTTATGAACATTTAGTGGATCATTGGTGTAAATTAGGAACAACAGGGGACCTAACATTGACCCCTGAGGTATACCAGGTTCAACACATTGTTGGTTTGAACCTGAACTTGACATTTGATGACAAGAATAAAAATATTTTACAGTGATCCTTTTAAAACACACTCAGTGAAAGTTGAACTTGACTCTGGACAGCAGCCATTTTACTCCCAGCATCCTCTCTGACTCCAGCCTCACTATCCACAGTCAGCAGTCTAACACCTCAGTTCGATTTTCAGGCCAGAATTTAACAGATTAGATTCTGATTCATCAGAATAATGTAAACTGTTAAAT